AATAAGAGAAAAATGAGACTTCTTATGTATGAGTAAATGTCTAGGCTAATAGCTTTGACTTGTTCCTCAGCTAGCTCCTAACTCAATTGCCCATTTATTCTAGTCTAAGCCATGCCACATGGCTCGATACCTGGTCCTCAGTTTCATGAATCTGTCTCCATTAGGGTTCCCCAGTGAACCTTCATGCCTGACTATTTCCCAGAATCCTATTTCTCATTTCTGCCAGATGTCCCACTTCTAATCCTCCCTCAGTTCATTGGCTTTTTTATTGACAGGTGAAAACTTCCACACATTGGCACGAGAGATTTCCTCTGCCATATATTGGTGCAACCACTAAAGAAATCAATGTGACTTTAAAAGAAATCAACAAATTACCATATGTACTAGTAAAACACCTCTCATGTATATTCGCAAAAGACTCTAAGTCCCAGCACAGAGATGTCTTCATATCTGTGTTTATTGCTGTGCTGTTCATTATAGTTAGGAAGTGGAACCAACTCAAATGCCCATCAACAGATGAACGAATAAAGAGAACGTGGGGGCTGGAGAGACAGCTCAGTGGTGACACAATCCAGCAGAAACAGGCAGGCCTCTGCCAAATCGGCACGAGTCAGTGGGAACGAACAGATCTGGCCAGGACAGCTAGAAGTTCTCTGCCATGCCTCTCTCAAAGAAGTGAAGATCAGTGAAGTTGAGAGACCAACGAAGCTGTTGCCAGGACTGCTGTGCTCTGCAAGCCCCCATCACTGCCCACTGAGTCCTGTTTATACTCTCTCCAAACACCACGTGTCCTCCCATGCATCTTGCCTCACCAAAACATTACATGAGTCTACATCACATGACTCAACCAGAAACTTTCGCTTCACTTACTGCTCTTGCAGAAGCTCCAGGTTCCCCAGCACCCACACGGCAGCTCACAACTGTCCATAACTTCAGTTCCAGAGGAGCCAATGCCCTCGTCTGACCTTCATTTAAAAAGAAGAAGGAGGGAGAGAAGGAGGAGGAGGAGGAGGAGGAGGAGGAGGAGGAGGAGGAGGAGGAGGAGAGGAAGAGGAAGAGGAAGAAGAAGAAGAAGAAGAAGAAGAAGAAGAAGAAGAAGAAGAAGAAGAAGAAGAAGAAGAAGAAGAAGAATAAGAATAAGAATTAAGAAAGGGGTGAAAAGATCTTCACAGTATTCTTTTCTCTGTTTTTTTTACCCCCTAGCCCCAAGACAGATTCAGGCAAGGGAAATTTATGAGAGCACAGAGAAGCTAAAAGTTCCATTTTATAATCAGAGTACACGGAAATGAGGTACCTACATACCAGACTGTGTAGAGAAAACTCACTGCAGAGGCAGCTGGGGAGTGGATCCTGAAACCTGTGCATGGGGCGGGGGGATCTTGAAGCAATCTAGCAAAAGCTCTGGGAACCAACGCACGGCATAAACCGCCAACAGCCAGGTCCTGGACTGGCACAGAGGTGTTTCACACCTGGGGCAGATCCAAACGTCACTGCCAAGCCTTTGAAAAGGAATCGGGCAGTGGCATCATATCTCACACATGGCTGGTGAGAAAGGATGACTCAAGCAAACAAGCAAAAGTGACATTCTCCAGAATGTTGACAAGACTCACTACAATATCTCTAGGGGACACAAACTAAAATTATTTAACACACATGCAAATGGAAAATCCTCAACAACTTGCAAGAGAAAAGACATCCAATAAACACCAGGCCTAAGGAAACCTTAAGGTCTTTGGTGTAGAGGACATTTACCACCACGACTTCCAGCACTTTGCTGAAACCTCAGATGCATGGTCTCCTGGCATGTTCATTGTAGCTCTGGAAGTCGCCGCTTCTTATAAGCTTGGCTTAGCTGGACCAAGAAAGAAGGTGCATGTAGATTTCTACAGAAATTATGATTCCATGAAAGATTTTGAAGAGACAAGGAAGGCTGGTATTGGGAGACTGAATCTTTTGAGTTCAGACTCCATCTTAGAGAACCTGACCTAAGGTTGAACTCAAAGTTAACTAACAGGCTGGTACCTCACACCAGTTTCCAGGTTATTCCCCAACAAATCTGCCTGCTCCTGACACTTCACTTCCTAACAACCACCAATCAGGAAGAAAACAGAAGTTAAGTTTATAGCCAATTATGTTAAAGGCCATAATGGACCCCCAATCAGATGAATACGGGCTATGTACCTTCTTTTTGCCTCTATAAATGCTTGCCAGAAACTGGGCTCGCTCCCCCCTCCTCCAGCATCAGAGACGATGGTGTGGCCCAAACTCGAGCTTGAATAAGGAGACTCTAATTCAATTGCATCGGAATCAGCTCCTTGGTGTCTTTGGAGGCTTCATGAATGTTTCCTGGCACAACAGTATCTTTTAGAGCGTAAAGTGATTTCAGAATGTAAAAACGGCTTCAGATTGAACTACACAGCTGTTTATCACTGACCTGTGGGCTAATGGATAGTTCCTCTCAATAACCAATTGACAATTAAATTTTTTTTCCAAAGGCTTAGAAATAGCTATTATAACTATTAAAAATTAATAAGATAAAAATAAACACACTTGGATATATTAAAGGATAACAATTCTCATTTTAAAAAAATTAAATACTATTTTTGTTTTTTTTTTTTTTCAAGACAGGGTTTCTCTGTGTAGCTCTGGCTGTGCTGGAACTCTCTATGTATACCAGGCTGGCCTTGAACTCAGAGATCCACCTGCCTCTGCTTCTCGAGTGCTTGCTCTAACTTTAACCTTGAAGCCATGAGGTCACAACAATGCCCTGTGCCTCTGCCATGTGTTATCTTTCTTAGGGTAACCTTGCTTGTGGAATCACATTTATCTCACTTTTTAAAGAGCAGCCTTAGTCAAGGTTGAGTGTAGATGACCAAATTTTATTCTATTTCCCTAAAATGTTCCCAAAAAGTGTATTGGCTTTTTGTCAAGATTTCCATGATGTATACCCTGGCTTATTCTATGTGGTCAGATTGTATGGTCTATATTCAAGCATAAATGTTTCATTGTGGGGTGGGTGTGGGTTTTTTTGTTTGCTTGCTTGTTTTTAATTCACCATCTAAGCCCACTTAGCCCCTAACATATCTCTCTCTCTCTCTCTCTCTCTCTCTCTCTCTCTCTCTCTCTCTCTCTCTCTCTCTCTCTCTCTCTCTCTGCTTTTGAACTTTGTATTGGTTCTTTGTGAATGTCACATTATTCGTCCCAATCCCACTCATCCCCCCTCCCATCATACCCACCCTCCACCCTTGCAACCTCCCCCCACCAACAGAGGGGGAAAAACATCTCACTGTGGAAGTTGTAGTGTGTCACAGTGTGTTTCGCCTTATGCCCTTTTGTCCACACTTCTTTGCTTGCAAATGTTCATTGCAATGAGTCATTGGTCTGGTACCAAACCTCTGTCTTCTGCTACTCTATCAATACTGGAAACTCACTGGTCTCCTATCCTGTATCCTGTTGTTATTGTCCTGTGTCATGGAGATCCTGTAGTTTTCAATCTGTAGGACCAGTCCCTTCATGTACTCCAGCAGTTCAGTGATGAGGTAGATGTTGGGGTGGGCCAACTCAAAGCCCTGGATCTGGGTCTGAGCTGGTGAACCCGAGAGCTCTCCCACACCTTCAGGATGAGCTCTTCTGTTCTGTCCCAGCTGGCCCATCCAATGCCACTGCCAACAAGGGGCAGAGCCAGCTCTCCTACTTTCATGCTCTCAGGCTGGCTCATACACACCCACACCATCAGGGCCAGCTCTGCTGTGCTGCCCAGGCAAGGTGCAGGGTCTGCTTTCCCAAATGCTGCAGTAGGTGAGGGGCAGGGCCAGCTCTCCTGTTTGCTGTAGGTGACAAAGGGCAAGAGAGGGCATCTCTCCCTCGCCCATATCACCACACAGTAGACAAATGGCAAGGCCAGCTCTCCCACAAGCCCTTGGGGCTGGGTTGCCTGAGCCCCACAACCAGGGTTAGCTCTACTGTAATGCCTAAGTGAGGTGCAGGGCCCACTTTCCTGAGTGTTGCAGCTAGTGAGGAACAGGGCCATCTCTCCCACACTCATGACCCCAGGGCCAGGCCTCCTGCCTGCCATTGGTGGTGAAGGGTGAAGGGGGAGGAGAGTATCTCTTTCTTGCCCATGCCACTGCATGGGAGATGAGTGACAGGCCATCTCTGCCACACTCATATCCTTGGGGCCAGCTCACCTACAACTCCAACAACCAGAGCCAGCTCTACTGTGCTTCCTGGACGATATGTGGGGTCCACTCTCCTGAGAATCGAAGCTGGCTAGCGACAAGGTCAGCTCTTCTGTTCTCATGTCCCCTGGGCCAGCTCTCCCATAATGCCCAGGTGAGGAGTGGGGCCAGTTCTGCACAGCCCTCAGACATCAACATATCCTAGTGACAGCCTAGACCAGGGTCATCTGCCTGGCCTTTAGTGGTAACTGACTTCTGGTACTACAGGGTCATGGACCCAGATGTGGCCCACTGTGACAGCACAGGTCAGGACCCCATCATGATCCCAGATGACATCACTGGCTACTCACATCAGGTGGTTCTTCACTACCCCCTAAGTCTCCAGTTCTGCCTCTCTTCACTGTGACCACATCCTTCTGTTTCTCTCTCTCTCTTCTATTTCCCCACCACTTACTTGCTCCTCTTAGTGGCACCCGGGGTCTCTGAGTGTCTGGGGTCATCTCAGGAGTAGTCTTAGGAGTGCTGTGCCCCACTCCTGCATTGTGGCTCTGGGCAGGGGTTATCTCAAACGTGACCTGCCACTACCACCATCAGGTCTGCAAAGTACTGGGCTGGTAGTCATCTCAGGCTAGCTCCCTGTCCAGGTAGCATGGTGCCAGACTGGTGGTTAGTCAGCTTAGGCTCAATCCTCAACCAGAACCCCGTGAATGGCTCCATGTGGGGGTTATTTCATCTCTGGCTCACTCTCCAGCCTGGGAGTCCATCCGAGCCTGCACAGCACTGGACTGGTGGTCGTCTCAGGCTTGCTTTTTTCAGGGAATGCTAGGCTGGCTACTAATCATTCAGATGGTCACAGGTCACAACACTGAGAGTAGACATAGGCTCTCTCCTCTCTGCCACCTCCTGATGCACGTGTGACACACCAGCCACACCTGCAATGCCCCTAGGAGTAGGTACCCAAGACTTTCTATCCAAACAGTGGTGGGGAAAAAAAGAGAAATTACTATATCCACACATTCTAGTGTAGTGGTTCTCAACCTACCTAATGCTGTGACCCTTTAATAGAGGTCCCCATGTTGTGGTGACCCCCAACCATAAAAGTATCCTCATTGCTGCTTCATAACCATAACTTTGCTACTGTTATAAATCATATTATAAATATCTGATATGCAAGAGATCTGGTGTGTGACCCCCAGGGAAGGATCATTCTAACCTCAAATGGGTGGTGGCCCACAGTTTGAGAACCACTGTTCTAGAGAAAAGAAGGGTTTCATAGAATGTGATGAGATGCTACATGATTTCCTGGAGAAACATGAAAACATCTCCTTGCCACAGACAGGGCACTAATAGCATATACTGAAGGAACAATTCTGGATGGTGAGATGGCTCAGGGAGTAAGATGCTTGCTGTGTTCACTCCAAGTTTAACGAGTTTAAGTTTAATCCTCGGATTCCACAGCAGAAAGAGAACTGACTCCCAGAAGTTTTCCTCTGATTTCCACATATCCACCATGACATGTATACACTTACTCTCACATACAGCATACATGTACACATACACACAACAATAATAAGTAAACAAAAAATTAAAAACAACCCCGCCTATGCCTAGCTTATTAGAGCAGTGAGTTTTTGTGGTTTCTTGAGAGGTGGAGAGAGTTCTCTGTATAACAACTCTGGAACTCATTTTTGTAGACCAGGCTGGCCTCAAACTCACTGAGCTCCACCTACCTCTGCCTCTCAAGAAGTGTATGTCACCACATCCTGCCATCGTGGTTTCTTAAGGAGTAAGGTTGAGGGTTACTTACAGGAACGTAGATGACTCAAGGGCAGCTACGTCACTAGAAGACCACACAGCATGGGCAATAACTCACAAAAGCTGTACCCTTGCAGCTCCCTACACACCTTACAGGCAGTTCAACTCTCCATGCTGTCTTCTCCTCAGCAACTGTTATCTACGCAACCTCAGAGAGGGACCTTGAGATTCCTGTAGTTTGTTTCATTAGCTACTTGAACCCTGTAAAGCTTCATTTACTTCCTGGCTCTTTTATGTTTCCTTTGCATCCCGAGTGGTGTTAGCTTCCCTCCTCTTTCCAAGAGGGAATTTATTCAGAGAAAACAGTTACACAACACAAGAGAATGACTGCACCAGCAGCCCGGATTCTTACCACTGTTCTACTACAGGTAACTTTTGTAACCTTGAGCGGGACAAGATCAGACAATCTTGAAGTTCTGTGTAGTTTCAACCACCATCTGATCCAACTTTATATGCAAGGATTACGCTTAGAGAGATGCTATAACTTGCTTTAAGACATGTGATTGGTTAATGGCACAGCTGACTGTTATGTTCAAGATTTTCCTACAGATGTTCTTTCTATTATTTCATGCCCAGAGCCCCCATTTCCCCTGCACAAAAGCACTGCAAGGCTTATAGAAAAGATTAGATGTGTTAATGTTAAAGAAAGATGTTTGGAAAGAGAAAATATCATTCAAACAAGAGCTTATTAGCATCCCTGGCAATCCCATTGGAAATGGATGCTCTGTTGTGTCCCTGTGGAAGGTCGTAGCTCATCGGAAGGCTGTGCTCATTTGTCCACCTCTCTAGGGACCTGCAAACTTTTAATGGAAGCATTGAACAGGAGCCAAGACTGCTGTAGTTAATAAGGCTCACTGGAACCACTTTAAAAGTTGTTCTCCTAAACAACTGGCAGTGAATACCAGATCTGTCAACACAAGTGTGAAGGGACATGGGGTATAGATCATGGAGCTTCCTTTCTCTGCTTCACAGACTGGTGATAATGTCATTTATGGATCTAGCATACCTATTACCTGGCCTATCATGGGAATACACACACACATACACATACACACACACATACATACACACACACACACACACACACTCCATTTGAATTTCCCTGGAGGCCAGAAGAGGGCATTGAATCCCTTGGGGCTGGAGTTACAGGCAGTTGTAAGCCACACATGGGTGCTGGGAACTGAACTCTAGTCCTCTGCAAGAACAGTACACAGCTCTTAACTACTGAGCCATCTCTCCAGTCCCTTTAATGGTTTTAAAACTATTTCAGGGCTGGAGAGATGGCTCAGTGGTTAAGAGCACTGACTGTTCTTCCAGGGGTCCTGAGTTCAAATACCAGCAACCACATGGTGGCTCACAACCATCTTTAATGGGATCTGACGCCCTCTTCTGGTATGTCTGAAGAGAGCTGTGGTGAATACATAAAATAAATAAATTTTAAAAAATAAAAAAATAAAACTATTTCAAAGTCCAAGTTAAGTGTCCTCTCAGACTCCAGGCAAACTCTTAGCTGTAAGCACCTGTAAAATCAAAACAAAGTTGCACTCTTCCAAAATACAATAGCATTCATTCTCACTTGAAAATGATAATGCAAAGGAAAGAGCCCACCAAAATGTCTCAAGACAAACTGTGAGCCCCAAGGCTTCCTTGAGGAGTCTCTGTGGTTACAATCTACCGCGCTTCTCTCAGCCTGGCTTTGCCAGGTGTCTGAAGCTTTCCCTGGCAGATACATTCCTAACTCCCTGAGATCTCTATTGTGTGATTGATTCTGCCTCATTCATTGCCTTCTCTGGGGCTGTTTGTCATTGATTGTTAACCATCAACTGCCCTTGTCTGCTTGGGGTGGGGTGTGAGGGTGTGGCCTCATGGCCCCCTCCCCCATCCGCGTCAAGTGCCTGATTAGTGCAGATGTCCTTGGCTGCTGTGAGTTCATGTGTGTTCACGTGTGTGGCAGCTGTGCTGTTCCACAGATGTTCACAGCACTCCTTCTCATCCTCTGGACCTTATTTTTTTTCACCCCCTCTTTGGTGATGTTCCCTTGGCTTTGGTGGGCATGGTGTGGATGTTCCCTTTAAAGTTGAGCATGTGACAGGCATTTATTCTTGGCACACTGACCAGCCTAGTCTCAGTATGAACTGCCACCCACAGCAAAAAGAAATTTCTCAGAGGAAGGCTGAGAACAGCCCTGGTCTATGGGAATAAAGTATTTTAAAGACAGTTTTAAAAACAAAAATGCAAAAAAAAAAAAAGAAAGAAAGAAAAAGAAAAAAACAGACATGGTGTCCTATATCTTTAATCCTAGCCGTGTTCAAATATTTATGAGTTCCAGGTCAGCCTGATTTAGTTTGCAAAAAAAATTAATTAATTAAAATAATCTGATTTAAAGAAAAATTCGTGGCTATAAAAACAGGCATGAGAGTTGAAGAGATGGCTCAGTGGTTAAGAGCACTGACTGCTCTTCCAGAGGTCCTGAGTTCAATTCCCTGCAACCACATGGTGGCTCACAACCATCTGTAATGGCATCTGATGCCCTTTCCTGGTGTGTCTGAAGACAGCTACACTGTACCCATATACATAAAGTAAAATTTAAAAATTTGTAGAAAACAAAAAATAGGCATGGTGGTGCACACCTTTAATCCTACCTAGCACATGGGGTTGGAAGTGGGAGACAGGCAGATCTCTGAGTTTCAACCACACACAAACACATGACAAAAATATTTAACATCATTAACCACCATAGGAATGTCAATTAAAACTACTTTGAGATTTCATCCCATTATTCCATCCACAGTCAGAATGGCTATTAACAAGAAAACAAATCCCAGGCTGGGAGTGGCACATGCCTTTAATCTCAGCACCCAGGAGGCAGAGGCAGGCAGATCTTTGAGTTCAAGACTGGCTATTAACAAGAAAACAAATCCCAGGCTGGGAGTGGCACATGCCTTTAATCTCAGCACCCAGGAGGCAGAGGCAGGCAGATCTTTGAGTTCAAGACTAGTGTGGTGTGCATAGTGAGTTCTAGGACCAGCAGGACTACAAAGTGAGACCAAGTCTCAAACAAACAAACAAACAAACAAAATGAAAAGAAAACAAGTCACAACAAATGCTGATGAGACACAGGGAAAGCAGGACCTTTACTCTCTGTGGGAATAGCTAGTATAGCTACTGTGGAAATCAATCTGGAGCTTTTTCAAAAAACTACAAACACCTCACCATGCCCTCCAAGGGTGTGAGACCAGGTTCCACCCCATTCTGGCTGCAGAACCCCAGAGAGCAGCACCAAACTTTGCCTGGGGAGCTGGCCCTGGTGGCAGAATGTGGCTGAGCCAGCCATGAGGGCAGGAGAGCTGGCCCCACCCCTCACCTAGGCAAAGCAGGACAGCTCACCGGGATGGCACTGCTCCAGGATGCTGGCTGGCTGACTAATTCAGTTTCCACCCAGACCCAGATCCAGGGGTCTGCATTGGCCCACCCCAATATCCACCCCATCTATGACCTGCTGGAGAAAATGAACAGGCGGCTCCTGCAGATCCAAAGCTGCAGGATCTTGATGACACAGGACAACGACAGGGTATCCAAGAGGTCCAGGTGAGGATCCAGTATTGACGGTGGAGCAGAAGCCAGAAGCCTGAACCACACCACTGACTCACACAATGAACATTTGCAAGTAAAGCTGTTTGGGCAAAAGGGTACACTGTGTGATACACCGTGACACACCTCAGCTTCCACAGCGAGATTATTTTGTTGTTGCTGCTTTCATTTTAATTTTTTGTTTTCTTTGGGGGAGGGAGGTTACGAGAGGGCAGAAGACAAATGTGAAGGGATGGGGAGATAAGTGAGGTTGGGGTGCACGGTGTGAACGAATTTTTTTAATCTTATTTATTCACCATTGCTCTCTTCAGATACACCAGAAGAGGGCATCAGACCCTATTGCAGATGGTTGTGAGCCACCATGTGGTTGCTGGAAATTGAACTCAGTACCTCTGGAAGAGCAGTCAGTGCTCTTAACCACTGAGCCAGCTCTCCAGCCCATGAATGAAATTTTTAAAAAGCCAAATTTTTTTTATTTTAAAAATTTAAAAAAAAAGCTAAAACTAAAAGTACCATATGACTCAGCTATACCATTCTTGGGCATATAC